TATTAAAATATTAGAATATGTTGCTTTTAATGTTTCAACTAATCTAAGGAACTCAAAAAAAAAAAAAAAGAAAGAAAAGAAAGGGCTACTTAGATTTTATGGAAAATGAGGATAAGCAACTATAAAAAGCAATAGCAGCTGAAACCGGTTTGGCTCAATGGATAGAGCGTCGACCTGCGGACTGAAGGGTCCCAGGTTCAATTCCAGTCAAGGGCATGTACCTGGGTTGCGGGCACATCCCCAGTGGGGGGCGTACAGGAGGCAGCTGATCGATGACTCTCTCTCATCAATGTTTCTAGCTCTGTATCTCTCTTCCTTCCTCTCTGCGAAAAATCAATAAAATATATATTAAAAAAATAAAAAGCAATAGCTAAAATATTCAAACAATAAGAAAATGAGAAAGGTTGAAATTTACTTGCAGATGTCATAGCTGTAAGTAATCCTTTGTAATTAAGGGTACACTGTAGAATTTCATGTAATTCAATGAGAGTTATAGTCTACAAATGTCTTGGCTATTCAGGGTTGCCATTTTACTAATCCTTTAATAATGTCTCTTACTGAAGCTTCAAAGAAAACTTACTGGATTATTTTATCCACTCGTCTGCTTCATCAGATCAGATAATATTTTCAGCTCACATTTGGCCTCAAGAGATATTTTATTTCTCAAGATTCTAAAGTGATGATATCTGCAGGTTGACATTTTATTGATGGCTAGTTAGTGAGAGCAGCAAGAGCACAGAATATCACTGTAGAAACCAGAATAAAAAACAGGTACATGCCGATTTTTTCCCTCATATTTGCAACCAGAAAGTACTAAACTTTATGCTAAAAAGAAGCATATTCTGGCTTTATTTATAGCACATGCCATAATGCCTGGTGGGTGTGGCTGTGGGTAGTTGATATTAAAAGTTTTAGACTCTTGCCTACGTGGCTTTGAATGCTAGTTTTGCCACTTACTAGCTGTGTGACCTTTGTACATACTTAACGTCCTTGACTCTCCCTTTCCCCATCTGTGAACCAGCAATGATAATAGCTACTCTTCAGGGTTGATGTGACTTAAAAATAATAATGTAGAAAGTGTATCTCACTTTTAAACTAGCTCTTTAAAAAAAAAAAAAAAAAAACATAAAATATTATCATGGTGGGAAAGCAGTTGAATGGTATTTAGGACAAAATGGCATTTAAATTTACTAGAGGCCCGGTGCATGAAATTCATGCTCTGGGGCGGGGGTATCCTCTGCCCAGCCTGTGCCCTCTCACAGTCCAGGACCCCTTGCTCCTTACTGCCCTCCTGCTCGCTGCTCCTTAGTGCTGCCAGAGAGGCTGGAGAAGCTCCCGCCACTATCACTTCATCCGTAAGCCCAGCTTCTGGCTGAGTGGTGACCGCCAGGGAACAGCTCCTGTGCTGAGCATCTGCCCCCTGGTGGTCAGTGTGCATTATAGTGACTGGTCATTCTGCCATAAGGGTCATTGAGGCTTTTATTATATAGATGTTGAAATAGGTTATTTCTTTTTTAGGCTAAGATAATCATAGTTATGTTTCAAAGCAAATTCATGCCTCTATTTTTAAACAAAACGTATCTCCTTTTACTTCTACCATTAGGTTCCCCTTCCTTTTAAGAGAAGTTTCATGATATAGCTGAAAGTGAAGTTAGGTATTGAAATCCTGGAGGTCAGACTTCAGTACTTGTTAGTTCTATAACTATGGTATAGCTATGGTATAGTTATGTAATTACTTAAATTCTCCAAATTCTAATTTTTCTCAATTGTTAAGTCCATATAACAACTCCTAATCCAGCCAATTATGAAAAACACACACACACACACACAATTTATGAGTTATTTTTCATCAATAAAAGCATCCATTGTTCCATACCTGGAAAATATTTAGTGAACACACTGAGAAAATAGACTATTTAGTGAAAACTTACATTTCCCAGTTCATTCTTATGAAGATAGTACTAATGGTACTTTACCTTTTTTAGCAAATTTAGCAATACAATTTTTAGTAATGGCAAGAATATCTGATTTGAAAATAAGAAATCTGGATTAATTGCCATTAATAATTTAATACACAATAATACCTTGCTTTAATGAATAAGTAATGTATAATATGTTATTCATTTATGTATTTGTTCCACAAATATTTATTAAATACCTACTATGTGCCATCACTGTTCTAGGTACTGATAGAACAAAAAATAAAGTATTATTTATTTTAAGGAGTGTATTTCCATTTTGATACTCAAAACCACTGCATGAGGTGAGCAAGTGAGGCTCAGAGATGTCAATAGACTTTTCCAGGATCAATAAAAAATTGTGGAGCTCTTGCCACTACTGGGGTAGTCGGGGGAGGCCAGGAGCAACAGAGATTCTCTTCTCAACAGACAGGGGAAGGAACCATTCTACCTTTCCTTCAGGTCACACAGTGGATCCTCTGATTAGTAGCTATTGAGTCTATTATTAAGACAATTCAGTAGCAAACATGGCATAGCATAAAGTACTTAATTTAGGAATCAGAATGGAATTTGTCTTGGTTATCACTTATTAGCCATGTCAGCTAGCCTCTATGAACCTGATCCCTCAATTATAACTACAACTTCATAAAATCTCTTGAGGAGAAAGTAATATAATAGAACTCTGGTAACCAGAGAACTATGCCAACAATGCTATGGTGTTTTTGGAGTGTGGCAGGCCAGTGGTGCATAATATGAGTCAAAAGTGGTGAATTATAGCATCTCTAAGGTGATAATCCTCCTCTGAAAAACCAATGTTTCACTGAAGCTGGAAACAATGCACTAAAATGTCTCTACCAAAGCCTGAAAAGGTAAGATTTGGGGACCTAGGATTACTTGATAAGTGCCATATGATTTCACTTATGTGTGGAATCTAATGAACAGAATAAACTAACAAACAAAATAGAAATAAACTCAAAGATAGAAAATGAACTGATAGCTGTGAAGGGGAGGAGAGTTGGTGGCTGGGTGAAAAAGGTGAAAGGATTACGGTAAGCAAAATAACCGCTTATTGTCTCTTCGCATCTACAAAAACATACCTTAGGGATGTCAAAGTAATTTCCTTTTTCTGTACCCCTGAAAGCCCAGGTATGCAGAGACCACAGATCTCCTCATCATGATTAAGTTGTTGACTATTAACTACCCTGCACCCTCAACATGATTGAGTTGTTGACTGTTAACTACCCTGCACCCACATATGTAAAAGAGGTGTCATTTTACTTTTATCCATCCCAGAGGATTCCCTGCTTTGCTTTCTCCCACCTTCCTAATTTATCACCAATGGATTACATGTAACCCACTTACATCTTTTGACTGTAATGTAGTACTCACTTTGGCAGCACATATACTAAAATTGGAATGATTGTAATATATAAAATAAGTTGCAGAACTGCCATTCTCTGGAGCATAATCTCAATCCGTTGAGATTTTGCTTCTTGGCAGTTGTTGACATTTTGGCTCAAATAAACTCACAAAAATTCTCTAAAGGTTTGAATGCTTCTTACATTGACGTATGCTTTTTCAAAATGCTAAGAGAAAAAGAGACACAATAGATTATGTTGTCTATAATTCCATTTATATGAAATTCTAAAAAAGCAAAAATAATGATAGACAACAAATCATTATTTGTCAAGGGCCATGGCTGGAAAGAGGGGGTTGACAGCAAAGAATCACATGAACCTTGAAAAAGAAAATGTCATACATCATAATTATAGTGGTAGATGATTATATATGTTTTCAAAACTCACTGGATGAACTTGCACACAGAAAATTGTAAATTTTTATTTGAAAATTATACCTCAAAAGTTTTTTTAAAAGATTATATATAATAAATCAGCACAGTGAAGAGTGCTCCTGTGTCTCTAGCAGACAGCTGGCTCTCCTTGGCGGGAGGATTCCCACTGATTTTCACATGCAGATGTTGTATGAGCACTTCTTCCTGGCTCTAGTGCTCTGGGTAGGAGATCCTAGCGTGGAATTGAGACTCCGTGCTCCTGAGGGGGAACCTTTGCAGCTGAGAGATCTCTCTGGAATCTCAGCCACCTGTGGGACGGAGGCCATCCCTTTCGTATCTCCGCCCTTCCTACAGGTCTTGATGTGGCTTCTTCTGTAAAATTTTGGTTATGAAACTTCTGTTCAGCTAGTCTTCAGTTGGTTATTCAGGTTGATTTTTCTATATTTTAATTGTAATTTCAGTTTGGTCCTGGGAGAACTGAGTGTAGCTTCCATCTATTATGCCACCTCTGACATTTTTAATAGTATAAGAAATTTCTTTTACATTTTTGCCAGAAAAATAAGCAAACTAACACATACTTGAAAAGTAGCCTTGAACACAATTTAAAATCCTCCAAAAAATGTTCCCTAAACTCAGTACAAACTTGGCAGGTATCTGAATGCTCTTCCCAGCATGTTACAGTAAAACAGAGGCTGTATATTTAGATTTTACAGGGGCCAGATCGATAATATAAGGGAAAGTCATGAGCAAGAGGCACACTGCCATAAACTGGGGAGTACATGACCCCTCCCAAAAGAGCTGCCACCACTGAGTCCTACCAATCAACAAAGGGAAGAACATATACTGGACTTCTATGTGAAATTTCCTGGTTTTCCTAGAATAATGCCTCAAATGTTTTATATCAATGTGTGGGCCAAAAAAAACCCATATCCATAGGCAGAATTATGACCTCTGGTCCACAGTGCAGGCTTCATGACTTTCTCCATAACAAAGTCTTGCCATCTTTCTAAACACTTACTATCTTTATTTGTTATGAGCCTAGAATATAATACTATTGCAAGTGAAGTAAAACTCATCTCAAAATCACATAAAGGCTAGTCACCTCTAGCCATTTTGCTGAACAACCATGTCCTATTTATAGTTCTAAGCATACTGCTTGGTAATTTAAAAAAAAAAAAAAAAAAGAAAGAAAAAAATCAGAATAAAGGGAGATAAGAAAAAACTGAAGAAAATCACAACAACTTTTAAGATCAGAGTCTGCTTCTAGACTCTAGAGCAATAAAATAATCCAAGTGTTGAAATTTGAGGACTTCATTGCCCCAACTAGTCCAACCGGGCTGTAAATTTCGAGCAAACAATTCCAAATAGTCCCCATCTGGCTTGATATAGTCTTTTAAAACCTCTGTTCAAAAAAGAAAAAAACACAAAAATTATTATTCAGAAAAGAATCAATATCCTTTTAGCAGTTAAGAGTAGAAAAGCAAAAATATTTCCTTAAAAATAGATAGCAAATTAATTTCAAGGATTTTGTCACAGGCTTTACTATTTATAGGTAGAAAGTCATTTGAAATAAGTACCCTTGAGATTGAAAAAAACTCCATGAGAACTTCCAGTAGCCCTGATTTATCGGTTTTCATTTGTAGATGAGAAATGAGGATTTTAACACCCACACAGATGACTTCAGTTTTCCAATACTGCTGACATGTCTTCTGAGTACAAACTTAATTTATTTTTTAATAAATGCAATCCATGCATAAAAAAGAAGTTGACAGTAACAATTCAGAGACAACCCACTTTAAAAACTAAGATAAAATGTAAGTCTCTGCAAACATATACTTTAGTGAAAGTGAACTGAATGAACAGTTGGGCCCAGAAATATTCAGAATACATAATTAACAAATAACTATATCCTCTAGCCATAACTTGGTGGTACTAAGAACATTCTTTCACTTTCAAATTATACATCCTTAGTTTAAAATTTTCAGTTAAGTATTTCCATAGTTAAGTATTCCTTCTTCATTATATTATTATTGAAAATGATATTTTGTTGGGAAAAAAAAGTATCTTATCTATACTGGATAAATAGCTGTGGTCAACACTAACAGAAAGAAAAGAATACCATAGAAGCTTTTACCATGCTCACTTAGACAAATACTTAAGTCAATTTAACCTTAATCGCATTGCTAAGTTAGCTATTCACTAATTACAGAAACTGGGTATGAAAATAACAACTCAGGGAAGAAAAGTCACTAGACAGGTAAAATAAAATCTTAATTGCTATACAAGATTGAGCTTGGAAGAAATCTATCAAATTCCCTTTAGTAATAAGAAGAGTTCCTTAGGAATAATTGATGTAGGTAAAGTCTAAAGGCCAATATATGAAAATTTTTATGTTTTTATAATGTTCTTCAATTGCTCTCACAGCAATATATTTGAAAGTACTGGTCCTGTTTAAAAAAAAAAGTCAAAGAACTAAAAGTACCTGTCTATAACTCAACTGAATTTAAATTTAGACTTTGCTAGCATCTAGGAGATGATAACATAAAGACTTCTAGTCCTTTTATAAGTATAGAATTAAATGGTACTTAACTGGAAAGAGAAAGATTTCCCCAAAGTCTTAGAGGACAATAACCTGTTGCATTTTTCCATGTTCCCACACCCTGCATGATGCATTACCAGCCTCAGTTCACTTTTAATGTGGTCTAAGATAATAGTGAATGAACCAAGGTTCTCTTTGTTTTTGCTTATTTGTTCAGTTTTTCAGTACAAAGATGTTAGCCAACTCTATTTTGGGACTTTAATCTAGAATCTAAACTGGAGTCAGCCAATCAAAAATATTTACTATTCTAAGCATCTACTTTAATCAGCGCTATGGGAGTTAATTTAAAAAAATCACATATCCATGTTTTCTAAGAGTTCACAATCTAATAGAAAAAGATGACTTAGAGTAGAAAAATACAAATAACCTAAACCCATTTACCACCTCCTTTCTCAATGCAACACATTACGCATGATTTTTTCTTCCTAGTTAACAAAAAATAGAAAATCAAGGAATATGTCTTATGATGCTAAATATTTAAGTTCAAAAGAAGGCAAAAAACATAAAGGCAAACTCATAAAAAATATTCTTATTAATTTAAAATATCAATTTAAAAGTAAATGCAAGATCTTAAAAGTTTCATCACAAGAAAAAAATGTATAACTATGTGTGATGATGGGTATTAACTAGACTTACTGTTAGTGATCATTTTGTAATACAGACGCTCAACTTATGATGGTTACGCCCTGATAACCCATCAGAAGTTGAAAACATCATAGGTCAAAAATGCATTTAATACAATTAACCTACTGAACATCACAACTGAGCCTATCCTATCTTAAACATGCTCAGAACACTTACATTAGTCTATAGTTGGGTGAAATCATCTAACACAATAAATGCTCTGTAGGTTTTAAGTGATTTGGTTAGCCTTGGGACTAGGTGGCTGCCTGGAGCGATGGTTCACTGCTGCTGCCCAGCATTCTGAGAAAGTACAGTACTGCCTATCATGAGCCCAGGGGAAAAATCAAAATTCGAAATTCAAAGTATGATTTCTACTGACTGTATATCGTTTAGGCACCATTGTAAAGTAAAAAAAAATAATTGTTAAGTAGAATCATTGGAAATTAGGGGCCATCTGTACATAGGTATATTGAATCATGTTGTACACCTGAAACTAATATGATATGTCAATTATATCTCCATTAAAAAGTAAATGCAGCCCAGCCAGTAGGTTAAGTTGCTGGAAAACTGAAGTCATCTTTGTGGGTGTTAAAAATCCTCATTTCTCGTCTACAAACAAAAACTGATAAATCAGGGTTATGAACCAAAAGGTCATGGTTTGATTCCCAGTCAGGGTACAAGCCTGGGTTACAGGCTTGATCTCCAATGTGGGGTGTGCAGGAGGCAACCAATCAAAAATTCTCTCTCATCATTGATGTTTTTCTCTCTCCCCCTCTTCATTTCTCTCTGAAATCAATAAAAGTATATATTTTTTAAAAACGTTAAGTGCATATATATTTAAATATGAGTATAACATGTACAAACTTAGATAGTTACATAATATCTGGTATTAGTAAATATACTTCTAACCAACAATGTGGAAGTAATCCATGCATCGCCAGTAATTCCCCTTTGCTCTGGGAGCAAGGAGCAGGGTTGGGAAGATGCTCAAACGCTATATAGATTCTCATAAAACTATGTTTTACTCTTCAGATAGACTGTTACTGAGTAAAGTAGTAAAAAGGAATGGAAATTCCTCTAAGGTAAAATATAAAGTTTGACTAAAATACTTTTATTTCCTAATCTTCCTATTAAATCTTTAAACTTAAGAATATACATTTACAATGCTGGGTTATAAGCCATCATAGTTATTGATGGCTTGTCTTTCAATGTAAGGAGGAAACTTCAAAACTTAAAAATCGAGTAAATGTATTAGTTGAAATGAATATGCTGCTAATTTTGCTACTTTTTATATTGAGGTAGAAATAACAAATTATAATTTTTAAAAAATCTTGGTGTTTCTAGAAGCAAAAGAACTTTTCAGTTTATGAATTTGCAGTTTAAGAACATTTACAAGTAAAAGTTCTAAACATTATATATAGAACATGTGTCATCCTAAATTCTAGAGTTATGATTTCAAAGTAAAATATACTGCAGAAATTTGAAAGCTGCTTTCTGGTAGCTTTAATTTGTATAGCTCTACACCTAAAAATATAGCACATGCTATATAACATGAACTAAAAAATAAAGGATTACAAGTATTTCTTGACTATCACTATTTACCCAAAGCATAAGGATTACATGCATGGAATAATGCGACTCACCCTACCACCCCCAATCTAACTTTTGTTTCAAAGGGTTCTTGTGTACTTGTGCTGCTCTCTGCTGGGAATATGGTAGAACTGCATTTCATAGGTACAGGCTGTAACATTAATTTTTATTAGTAGTAATAAAAGACTAATTATTTTCACTGTCTTATAACTTTATCTCTTTAAACATAATTTTATTTAAAAGTAATTGATAAATAGTATAATTATTATTTAAGAATGAAATATTTTGGATCATAGCTTTTGGATTTTTACAAGTAAAATAATAAGCCCTAAGGCAAACACTAAATTGAGCTTTTCACTCACTGACTGATTAAAATTTAAGTGATAAGAATACAAATTAGAATCCCTCCATCAAGTATAATTGGTGTCAAACAATTCTTTTTCCTCAAAGAGAAGTACAATACCATTTTCATTTAAGTCATATATTTAATGCATTAAAGAATCTATGGCAGTCCAAAGTTTAAAGGCAATTATTCACAGAGAATTCTTCTTCTAAGTAAAAAAAAAAATAATAATCATGAGGTAGACATCTGAATATTTCTCAAATGAAGTAACACTACACTGTTTCTTCTACATAAGCAATTTATGATGCAGAAAGCCTAAGTGCTATCAATAAAAATTCTTTGGGGAATGTCTATTCACTTTCCTATATATCCTAACTCATAAACTATACCTTTTCTACAAAATAACATGACAGGATGTCGGCCTGTAATTTTCCTGAGTAAGAGCTTGAAAAGTTGGGGGTTTTCAAAGCAAGGATCACTAAATTAATAAAATATATATTCCTGAAGAAATTATTTGAATAGCAAACTTTGAATATCAAATTCAATCTCTCTCAAGAACTTACATCCTATTGTTTGAACTTTCACTTGAAAAATATAGCATTCACTGAGCTTCTAGTATATGCTAAAGAATTTCAAATATATTATAACCAATCCTCACAAATTTAAAGAGTAAATATCATTGTTCCATCTTAAATTAGCACTTTGAGATGGAAAATGATTAGAGTAACTCATTCAAATTGCACAGCCAATATTCAAACTCATGACAGTCAATCTCCAAAGCCAAAACTTTTCACTATTCCTCACTGCTTAGTTTCATTGAATGATGAAAATTATACTAAAGCATTAAAAGTAGTAAAAGTTGCAGGCTGCGGCAATTACCTTTCCAATGGTTCAGAAAAGCAACACTACCTCAACATAAAACCCTGAGAGTTTCTACCAAATATCAAGGGAATTCTAACCATCTCTGACTGCTATTCTGAGCTCCTGGTTTTAGAACAAGCAAGGGCAGCAAAACAAAACAAGACAAAACAACTATTCATATATTCTGCTATAAAATTTTAGAATATTAATTAAAATAACATATCTGATTTAATTTCCAAATCTCTAGACCATTCAAATACTAAATTCAATCCCTTTTTTAAATTTGACAGAAGTCAGAATAATTCTATTTATAAAAACATACCAGCAAGAGGTGGCTTATGAGAGTGAAGGGCACAGGGTACACTGACAATTAACTTGTGATCTGGAATGGGGAGCATATTCCTAATTAAAAGAGAACAAAGTAAATTATATTTTACAGGACATTTTTTATATACAAGCCACAGTTGCCTTAATTTTTTTCACCTTTCAAATAATATCTGAATTTAAAATTAATAGAAATAATAATGGAAATCAACAATTTAAGTATTAAGACATTCCTAATAATTTCCTTTTCAACAATTATATACTAGATAAAACAAAAAATATTATAAAATTTCATGTACCATACCATTCATACTTCTTTGGCATGGGACATTTGCATATTTTTGAAAATGTAAAAGTTAAAGAAAATCAATGATCAGTTGATTAATAATTTTTAAAAACCTAAAACTTAATAGATTTATATAACTGAAAAATCACCATTCCTACCTTAATGGTAAAGTAGTTTTTTCTTGAACTCTCCCCAGTATAAGACCTTCATAAGGCTTTTTGTGAGTAGAATCTAATGGGAACACAAACTCTCCTGAATTGGTAATCTGATAGGAAGGAGTAAAAAAAATCATACATTTATAAATATTCTGGAAAGGTTTGTTTGTGACTTTTTCCCTACATTTTCCACCAAAGAAAAATAAATTATTAAACTTCCAGGCTAGTGTTGTCTAATAAAAATAAGTATAATTGAGCTACAAATATGTATATCAAATTTTCTAAAAGCAACATTTTAAAAAATAAAAAGAATGCAGTGAAAGTGATTTTAATTACATATTTAATTTAATCTAATATATCAAAAATATTATTTCAATATGTAAAAATTCAAAAAAATATATGGAGATAAGTTATATTGTTTTTCATACTAAACATCCAAAATCTAGTATTTTATACCTACCACCACATCTCAGTTTGCACAAACTACAGAGGAAACTACCATATTGGACAGAGAAGCTGTAAGGGACTAAAAAATATTTTAAATATCACTTTATCATTTTGTACACAGAAATCTCTAATTTTCATTAATTATTATTCAATAATTATTATTCAATAATTATTCCTGGAAACCACGCCATCATAAACTCATTTATTCATTCATTCATTCAAATATTTAATGATTACTGGCAATGTGACTAAGTAGAATATAATACTTTCCTTCATTTATAGGAAAGAGTGTCATTAATGCTGTCAGAGCTAAAATTAATAATGAAAGAAGCTCAGGGATTGATGAGATAGATAATAGTACAATCCTTGGGCATTATAAATCCAGAAATTAATTTTATCTTTTCATCTTGGAGTGATCAGATTCTCAAAGACTCACTTAAGCTAATCAAATTCAAAATGTAATTCATAATAACATTATCAATTCATTAATTAAAGGTAGAGATATATATTTTCACTATCAGAATATTCATTTATTTTAACTATAAAATCCTTTAGCCCATATCAAAGTACCTAAAAAAAAAAATCAGTGAAACCTTTTTATCACCACTAAAGCCATGAGATAGCACCTCTACTATAAAGTACATTAAAGCACTGGAAATTCTCATTCTTAGGATATTTATACTCAATGTAGATTATCCTTCTATTATAACAATAGGGTTTCATATAATACTAGAGGCCTGGTGCACAAAATTCGTGCATGGGGGAAGAGGATCCCCTCAGCCCAGCCTGCACCCTACCCAATCCAGGACCCCTTGGGGGATGTCCGACTGCTGGTTTCAACTGCCGATCCTACAGATCGGGCCAAAACCAGCAGTCGGACATCCCTCTCACAATCTGAGACTGCTGGCTCTTAACTGCTCACCTGCCTGCCTGCCTGATTGCCCCCAATTGCCCCCCTCTGCCAGCCTAATCAACCATAACCGCCTCTGCTTGCCAGCCTAATTGCCCCTAACTGCCTCCCTGCCAGCCTGGTTGTTCCCAATTGTCATTCCCCACTGGGATGGTCATCCTTCACTGCCCCCCTTCCAGCCTGGTTGCCCCCAACTTCCCCTCCTGCCAGCCTCATTGCTCCTCACTGCCCCTCTCAGCTAGCCTGGTCCTCCCTCACTGCCCCCCTGGTCACCCTTCACTAACCCCCCTGCTGGCCTGGTCGACCCACACAGACTGCTGATCAGTCTTTGGTCACCCCTTGCTAATCCCCCTGTGGGCCTGGTCGCCCCATGCAGCCTGCTGGTAGGCATTTGGTCGTCCCTCATTAACCCCCCTGCTAGCCTTGTTGTCCCATGCAGCCTACTGTTCAGTTGTTATTGTGAAGGTGTTATGACAAATTTGTATATTACCCTTTTATTAGTATAAATACTAGAGGCCCGGTGCATGAATTTTTACACAAGTGGGGTCCCTCGGCCTGGCCTGTGGGATGGGGCCGAAACCAGCTCTCCAACACCCCCAAGGGGTACGGGATTGTGAGAGGGTGCAAGCCAGGCCGAGGGACCCCACCAGTGCACAATTTGGGCCGAGGAAGGATATGGGAAGTTGGCCAGCCAGGAAGGGACTACAGGAGGGCTCCAGGGCATGTCCAGCCTGTCTCACTCAATCCCCATCAGCCAGACACTGGCAGCAAACTAATCTACCAGTCTTGGAGCATCTGTCCCCTGGTGGTCAGTGCACATAATAGCAGCCTTAACATATTAGCATTTTACACTTTGATTGGTTGAACAGATGACTGAACATTTAGCATATTAGGCTTTTATTATATAGGATTGTATTTTTGTTTCAAACTCTGGTCTTACCATACCATCTCTCACAACTGATTACTACTACAAATAGTCGTAGTTTTCATGTATTAACATTTTACTGGTTATGATTTCAGAGGGTAACCTTTTCCTGACTTTGGCACCAATCTGACTACTAAAAGAAATGTCATAATGGACAGGACTAAATATTCTTGTCATGGTCCCATACCAAATCAACGAAATCTAAGCCCAAATTATATCATAAAAGCAAAAATACAACTATAAATGCTTGTTTGGAAAGTCCCATAAAACAGATTCAAATAAATAATGTACACAGACTACAAAGTACAACAAAGCATATAAAAATAGAACTCTCCTGTGTCTAACATGAATGTACCTATCTAAATATAAAGCATTTAAGTGACAATAATTTGGCTTATCTTTCTAAAATTTAGGAGGGTTTTTGTGGAATTCATCTAAGTGAACAATGTATCTTTAAAAGGATGTCCAGTAAACGCTGAACTAATGCCTTAATTTTTCTGTATATTTTAGTACTCTTATAGCAAGCAAGATATTAAAGATCATTCAACCAATATGAGTGTTGCAATCATTCCTTTCAAAAATATGTTTATCTTAACATAAGGCACTGAAGGGCCTAAGTTAAGATTTAAAGTATGAAAAGTTCTTAGTTCCAGCACCTTCCCATCTCTGCCACACTGGTTACTTTGCTATTCTCCCTCCCACCCCCAGCAACAAAAGAAAGCAAAAAAGGAAAGGAGTCAAAAATGGTGACTGAAATTGTGGATGCATAATGAGGAAGAAGATGAAGGGTAAGGCTATTTCTATGTTTAATGATAAATAGATTCCTCAAAATTTTTGTTTGTTGATTTTTAACTACAGACAACAGAGCTTTTTAAAAATTCATCCTGGTATTTCTCTGAGTGGCTTACTAAGGCCAGTAGTTTAGAAGTCTGTTACAAAACCAGAGCGAACAAACAAAACCTTAAAATAAAAAGATGAAAGTATTTACCAGCAAAGTAAAAATTTTAATTAGACTATGCTGAAGGAGTAGAGCAGCATGTTAAGTATTGAAAAGTAGATACTATCTTTTTTATTTATTTTTTTATTTTTTATTGATTTTCCACAGAGAGGAAGGGAGAGGGATAAAGAGCTAGAAATGTCGATGAGAGAGAAAGATCGACCAGCTGCCTCCTGCACACTCTCTACAGGGGATGTGCCCGCAACCCAAGTACATGCCCTTGATCGGAATCAATCCCGGGACCTTTCAGTCCGCAGGCTGACGCTCTATCCACTGAGCCAAATCGGTTTCAGCAGTAGATGCTATCTTAACGTAGTCATTAATATGACTTACATGTCATGCTATATGAACAAACAAACTTCTGAACTTACTTTTAACCAGTGCCATTCAGCAACTATCTCCACAGACCACGAAGGATAAAGTTCTTCCTTTACAAAACGTAAGTGCTTCTGTCTATTAGTCACCCAAGTAATAACAAGACAGTTTGGAGCAGCCAGTTTAGGGATAGGTATTTGTTTTATTTGCAGTGGTGACAAATAACTATACCTAAAAATAAACAGAAAAATGTTAGCAAAATTTGCTGTAAAAATAACAATAATAAGCATGGAAAAAGCCTGTATAACACCTAGTACTGCATTTGTATCACTAAATATGTACCCACAGTGACATCCAGTGGACACACTATTACAAGCAAGTCAGAAATAAGTTTATTTTTTGTTTTATAACTTGTTTCAACTTGTCAGTCTATATTTCTTTATCACTTTTAAATGCATTGCAGTTCAGTAATTTTACTAATATTTACAACATGCTTTTTACAATTATTGTTTGGTTGTCATTATCTGTACATTACACAGGTACCCCGTCACAGTAGTCTTGACACTACTGTCTCAATATTCTACTGTATTTTCATCCCTGTTTATCATCCTCCTTCTTTCTTCCTTCCCAATCAATTCTACTGGCCTCTCTAAAATTCTTATGCTTTCATTACAAAAAAATTAAAAATCCTAATCTTGTATCTTGTGGCCATCAATAGTATGAAGTCTAGTTTCTCTTGCACTACTTGCTCTACAATACTCAGTCAAATACTGGTATATGTTGCCCTTTTCCAACACTTAAGCTATACAACTGGGAGAATTGAGATTAGAATTCTCCCAGGCCGCTGAAACCGGTTTGGCTCAGTGGATAGAGCATCAGCCTGCGGACTGAAAGGTCCCGGGTTCGATTCCGGTCAAGGGGACGTACCTTGGTTGCAGACACATCCCCAGTGCGGGGTGTGCAAGAGGCAGCTGGTCGATGTTTCTCTCTCATCGACGTTTCTAACTCTCTATTCCTCTCAAATCCTCTCTGTGTAAAATCAATAAAATATATTTTTTTAAAAATTCTCCCAGGCCCCCTATTGCTGCTTCCAGGATATAATTCATCCATCCTTGCATAAAATCCCTTTCTCTTTAAGAGGTATGCTATACAGCCATGCTAACCTCTGATGTTTCTTATAGAACAGAGAGTTTTCCTCAATTTGGTCTCCTTCTGTATACAGCTAAATTAAGGACTCATATGCAATTTGTCTTTCTGCTGTCTCTCCTATATTCCTCAATTGACTACAATGAGGTTTCTACTCTTAAACCTGCTCTAGAAAAAGTAAATAACATCAAAATGTCCAGATACAATAAACGTTGGAATCCAACTCTAATGCATGGTAACTGTAGGTTGTACACCTGCAATTGATATAAAATAATGATTAATGCAAAATATAGTTGAAAAACTTATTGGTTAAAAAAATAAATTCAAAATGGTTTAAAAAAAAATGTAAGGCTTGAAACCATAAAAGTCCTAGAAGAAAACATAGAAAGTAAACTATTTGACGTCAGTCTGAGTAATATCTCTTTTTACATATCCCCTTGAGCAAGGGAAACAAAAGCAAAAAAACAAGTGGGACTTCAACAAACTAAAAAGCTTCTGCACAGATAAATAAATCTTCAACAAACAAAAAGACAACCTGCTTGAAAGAAATAATATATTCATAAATGATATCTTTTGATCTGAGTTGATATCCAAAATATATAAGAAATCCATATAACTCAATAATAATAAAAAAAAATAAGCAATACAACAGAAAAATGGGAAAAGGTCACGAAAGAACATTTTTCCAAAGAAGAATACAAATAGCCAATAGACATACAAAAAGATGCTTAATATTACTAATTATCATGCAAATCAAAACTACAATGAGATACTGCCTCACACTTGCCAGAATGGGTATCAAAAAGTCAACAAATTAGAAAACCAAGAAGGCTACCTAGGTAAACACCTAAGCTGCCCCCTCACACAACAGTTTCAAAACAACAACTAAAATCAAAATGGACATCATCCAAAAACACAGGAAAGCTGGCCGAGTGGGAAATCTACAACCAGAAAGAAGGAGAGAGGCTCACAGATCGGATTGGGAGCCGCAAAGCGCTGAGATAGTTTGTTAAAGTCCCACTTCAATGTATGACATCTTCTTTTATTAAGATTCTCTTTGCTTAGGGGATATATTCAATATTATTATAGTAACTAAATACGATGCCAGATAGGTACCAAACTTATCAGGGTGATCATTTCATAAGGTATAGCAATGTCTAATCACTATGTTCTACACTTGAAAGTACTATAATATTGTATATCAACTATAAATTTAATTTTTTTAATATTTCCTTTAGTTTTTCTCAAAAATATTTTATAATTTTCAGTGTAGAGGTCTCATATCTTTGGTCAGATAATATCTAGGTCATACATTTGTAAAAGCTATAATAAACAGATCACACACACACACACACACACACACACACTACACAAGCACAATCCTACCAGCTATGACAGATTACCTCCAGCAGCTTAGTAAAAAAGTCAGATTATTAAGGAAATCTATACTATGTTATATATTAAGTTTAGAAATATATAAAGTTTAGAAATATATACTACAGTATATATTTCTAAACTTTTGTGTTTGATATTAAAGAAGGCAAAAAGGTTGCCCTTTGCAGAAACATCCCTGAATGGGTTCAGACAGTAACCTCAGTAATTAATAAATATATTACTTTTAACATCCTTACACCTATATATAGCTCTAGTTCAAGAGAATTATCTACTTAAAGAAATTAAAACTTTAATACTAAAGTGTTTCAGCAGTTTGAGACAAACTTTATCAAAAACTAATGTTTTTAGCACATGTATCTAAAATGTACGAAGGACAATAGCCTTCAGAAAACCTTCCTAATAGAAGACTTGTTTACACCTACCTGTTACTTCTTTTAACTGACTTGTTCTGCCATGGTGGATCTATCACAATCACATCATATGTTTTCCTACCTAAGAACAAAGGCACAATTTCAGAAATTTTTGTATGTGATCACCCTAAAAACTAAACATGTCCTTCAAAACCAAAGTGCATTCACCACATACACAAATACAATGCAATGCAACAAAGGTTTTATGGCATTTATTTAAATAGACTGAAACCATTAATTTAGTACTACCAGGATTTTAATATGATTTCCCCTATTACTATTTTTTAAAGACTGTCTGAAAATAACTAGCTGGACACCAATGATTTTTAAAACCCTGTTAGTCTTCATAGCAATATTAATATAGTCCTTTCAAACTTCAAGGTTTTTTGCTTTATTTTTTTAAGTTTCTTTATGAAATAAACTTTAAGTCTTTTAACTGACATATCGGCCATAATAAAATTTCCTCAACTGTCTACTTATGTCGTGTGTTTTTTTTCTAGCCCTGTACCCAAATCAAGATCACACTTTGCATTTAGTTGTTACGTCTACTAAATCCCCTCCAATCTGGGCAAGTTCCTCAGTTTTTCTTTGTCTTTTATGATCTTGACACTTTTGAAGACTGCTGGCCAGTTATTTTGTAGAATGTCCCTCAGTTTGAGTATTTTCTCACGATTAAATATAGGTTTTTTTGGGCAAGAGTACCACTGAAGTAATGCTGTGTCATTATCAGAACCACCTCTCAGGAAATACAGATGTCAGAATGTCTCATTATTGGTGATACTACCTTTGATCACTCAGTCAAAGTGTAGTCTGCAGGGTTCTCTAGTTTTCCCTTTGTAATTAATAAGTGTCTTGTGGGGGAGATACTTTAAGACTATGCAAATATACTGTATCTCATCTTTTCATCCGCTACTTTTACATCCAACTACTATGGTATTTGCCAAATGTAAATTTTCCAGTTCCATCATTCCATCAGCATTTATTAATTGGAATTTCACAGTAAAGAAGAGCTGTCACTTCTCCTCCTATTATAAACAAAGGTGATTTATATTTCTGTAAATGTACAATTTCATAAGTAATCAAAAGAACGCAACTTAAAATAAGGAAGTAACAGTTTTTAAACTATTAGAGTAACAAAAATAAAAAAGAACGAAAACAATGTTTAAAAATAGCATGATTTTTCTCATTAATTTGTTAAACTATCATTTACCCTGAGGAATTTATAATATTGCAGCATGAATAACTGCTTATGAGTAAGATGATCACAATTAAAATAACCTTTTCATTAATCAGCCATGTCATTTTAACTTTAAATTTTGATATAAAATGTCCAAATAATAATAGCAGATTAAATTCAACTTGACCAATACTTACCTTTTACCTACTCATTCCTTAGAATACTGAGTTGTAATTTATTAAAAACATATAAATCATGGAATTAACCTCCTGATGCAGATTATTTCATTTAACCTCAAAATTACCCTGAGAAGTAGGTATTATCCTATACATTTTATAGATTAGGAAACTCAAGCTCAGTTTTGTGAAATACCCAAATTCACAGTTAAACATTAGAATCTAAATTCAAATTCTGGTCTGGACTTCAATATTTAAGGTTTTCAACTTTATACAGGAAAATGTTTCAAGAAATTTTGTACAATAAACTTGAACATTAGCTTAAAATAGAACTTAAAAGGCTAAGAATTAATATTCATATCTGAAGTGTTTTATTTTGCTATGAAGTTAAATAAAATTATTTAACCCAATTGTACCCTGAATTTCTAAGTACAAAATAGTAATTGTATTTGCTCTCTTAGGGACTAGATAGTTTTTGACCCTTTGTACATAATAATAACTTAAAATGGTTTTTTAAAAGCAAAATTCAGCATTTTAAACTTGAATTTAAGAGCAAAATTACATTGAGAAAATTCAGTGTTTATCTATCCTCATAAAATGTTTGCCCTCACTCAACATTCAGATTAGCTCTTGACTTTTGAGGCCACAGAAAAATTATCTTTTTCTAGTAATACATAATAATTACTTACAATTCAGAAGCGGTTGCATACAAGAAATGTCAGACAAAAGAAAACTGCTTTTTGGTGGCACCAGGTATTTCTGTCCCATTAAAGTAATCATTTTTGTAAATCTAGAGTTGTTTTCAACAATCCGTGAAAATAAATCCTGCTCTGTAACAGACATATCGTTTTCCATCAATTGTAATGTTAGAAGTTCCATTTCATTCAGAGAAGGCAAATGCTTTGCCATTTCACATAATTCTGATAAATTGCAGGTATCAAATGATAAAGTAATGGGTTCATTACACTTGTCCTGTTTTTCAGAAAGTGGATGAAGAAAGCCACTCTTTAAACCTTCTTGGATTATCTGTGAAGATCCATCCAAAATCAGCCCCCTGATCTGTAAGAAAAATTTTTAAGTACATTAAAAGGTCACTGACATTAAAACAATTTTCTAAATAATGAAACTCCTACTATGCTTTGAATATGTAAACATTTATGGATTGAAATTAATCCATAATGCTTTTCCTAATACTAAAAGGCCAAGAGGCATCAAGACCAAAACAACAAAACAACCGGTCTCCATGAGATTGGAGAGGGTGCAGGCGGAGCTGAGGAATCAGTCCCCTGTGCACAAATTTTGTGCACCGGGCCTCTAATAGAAAAATAATTTCACTCTACAATGAAAAGATAAGAATGTATGAGTATACCTTTGAACTGCAGTTTCCTAATTGGAGAATGATACAAACCTCATAAATTTACTGAAAATTAAATAACAAAACAGTATATATAAGAAAATATATACTTAAGTTATAAAATGAATTCTATACACCTATAAAAGTTTAAAATGGTAGATTCTGTTATGTATATTTTACCACAAAAAAAAAGATTTTGGGGGGGAAAAATTCATACCATCACAATAATTCAACAAGTCCAACCCTGGTTTCCCATTTCAATCAAAAGTGTTCCTTAGGCAATTAAGCTTGAAATATTTGTGTTCCCTCAGTTTTCTCCCATTTATTTATCTCCTAGATTTCATTTATCTCTTAGTTCCACAAATACATCCTTCACATTATTCATGCTTTCTTCTGCCACTCTCTTAAGTTGTTTTAGCTATGGATAGTAGGCTTTTATAACTTACACAATTTCTAAACTTAACCAATATAGCATAAGTTTACTTACATTAAATATGTAAAATAGAAATATATGAAGTTTTAATATAAGCTTGTTTAAATTGTTCATTAATATAAAAGTAACAATAATCCACTACTTTATTAAATTCTAACTTTAATCACAATTGCTTTTAAGAACATCCTATTTATATCATCTTTTTACACTACTTCACATCAATCTTATCAGTAAACATTTCTCACTTTACCTTTTCATGGTATTCCATAGCATCCAGTTCACCTTGATTGAAACCAACACTCCTTTTACGCTTCTAAAGAATAAATTACAGGGAGAAAATTATACTGCCATCTATCACAATATTAATATTTTGAATTTTTTTATCACATTTTCCATATTGGGTAACTCAGTCTTTAAGATGTAATAATTCTTATTTAGGTCAAAATCAGTGCAGAGGGTATGGAAAAAGGATACAAATTTTTTCCCAAATAATAATTATTAATAATTTTATTACAAATTTAATAGGTGATAAAAGGTCACCTCCACCGTATCAGCTATTAGTGAAAAATATTACTAAATGGTAAAATGTATCACTGACATCCATGGAACAACTGTGACATTCTATAAACAGTCAGCAGTGTCATCTGTCAGTTGTTATATATGGTATAATTATTCTGAACTTTCTTCAGTTCAGGAGAACTATCATCTAAATGCCTAAAAAATTTGCCAATGTATTTTTAATAGTTGTTTGTAATTGATCTGAGGGTGAGATACAAATCAGATATATTAATACTATGCTATATCTAACAACTCCATAGCAAAGAACACATAAGACAGTTCAATACAGAGCAGGGATTATACTTTTTATTGCTGAACCTCAGTGCTTACAGTGTGGCAAACTCTTAGCAGACTAACAATAAATATTTGTTGGCTAAATAAATAAATGAATTTAAGTTTAAGTTAATTGCACTATTTGCCATAGCATATCAAAAATAAGGTAAGTTTTGCTGAAACCGGTTTGGCTCAGTGGTAGCGCGTCGGTCTGCGGACCGAAAGGTCCCAGGTTTGATTCTGGTTAGGGGCATGTACGTTGGTTGCGGGCACATCCCCGGTAGGAGGTGTGCAAGAGGCAGCTGGTCGATGTTTCTCTCTCATCGACGTTTCTAGCTCTCTATCTCTCTCCCTTCCTCTCTGTAAAAAATCAATAAAATATATTTTTTTCAAAAGTCTCAATATTATTAAAAAATAAATAAATAAGGTAAGTTTTATCAAGATAACCTCATTACATATGGTCATCTATATTTTTCCATATTAAAATGAGAAATTTACCCAATATAAGAAACCTAAACATTGAAATACTAAAATACCTAAACATTAAGACAATGTCCATACTTGGTGAACTGTAAAGTCCTTTACAACTGTTTATTGTTATTTGCCTGAATTAGTAATAGTAATGATAAATTACCTACATACTATATTACTGAAAGTTCAGAAATATTTTCTGTGCCTGGCACACAGCAGATGATCAATAATTAGTTGAAAGAGAAAAAACATATGTACGAGAAAAAAAATCACATGAATATTAAAATTGCTACTTCAGATACTTATAACAATGTAATAATTTACCTCTATTAATTTTCTTATTCTAACTCTCAATATGTTTATTTAATATCTTTTTCTCTTTACAATTATAAGATCCATAAAGGCAGGGATTGTATAGCAAGGGTTATTAGCAAATTGTTAAAAATTACTCTGGATACACTAAAGCTTCTTATGCTTCCTGATTCTTATGCTTTATTCTTTAAACTTAGTAAATCACGAGATATCTGATACTGGAATAATAAATCTTATTTTCTGTAGAAATATAAAAATTTCTTAAAACTTTCTACCTTCCCATGAGTAGAAATGGAGATTTCTTTTTTAACACCATTCATTAAATCTTCCTTTTCATTATTTTGTTGGCATTCCTTGTGAATAGCTGAAGTTATATAAGGTTTAGTGATATCAAACAGTTCAGATCTAAAAATATATTTTTGTATGAACATTTCACAATTTCCTCCATCATCATTCTTGGGCTTAGTGATAGAGTCAGAAGCAATAAATTTAGTTGAGGATCCAAAGGAGGACACAGAATCAAGGTGAACAGAAGTAGTGGGCTCATTTTTACTGCAACAAGACTCATGATGCTGGTGAACTTGATAGTTGATCTTGTTAATGAAAGAAAGATGATCCAGTAACCATCCTGGTGACAGCTGGTGCACCACTGACATTCTCTTTCTTTAAAAAAGGAAGAAAAGAAGAAGAAAAATCTCTGGGAATGAGATTAGAAGTAAAACCCAACTTTCCAAATCAAGTTCTTAAATGTCCTATATTCAATAAAAATATATTTCATACACAAATAAATTCACAAGTAAATAAACTTGACATGTACACAGAAGAGAATTTAACATTCATGATATGTAGTAGGACTAAAAATAATTACATCGTTTTAATATAAACTTTGAATATCAGGGTTAATAATTCAAAATTTTTAGCCAACTTGGACAAAGAGAATTAAAACCTGATCTTATTTCTAGAATCCCAATTTGATCTATCTTCCTGGGCCCTGCTTGGAACCAGCCATTATGTCTACATCTTCCAAGTCAGAAAATCACTGAATACTTAACAGGTGAAAGTGTCCTGTCAAAGCAAAGAATACTGTATTACCTATGTGAATCCACTCTTTTTAGTGAGATAAACCCAAAGGTCACAATTTCAGAGGAGCTGGTAGCATATCAGCTCTTGTTTTTCAAACTACATTTAACCTAATAGCTCAGCCAGCTCTGTTATCATTGCCTTACTGGTAACAATGGAGTACACAAGGATAAAGGTAAGGGTAAAGCAAAATGCAATTTTAACAGCACTAAACTGTAGCCAAATTGCAAGGTTACAGAGCCTAGACCTGTATTTGCTCTGAGCAGTTCTCTTCCAGCAATTAGATTTTTCAGAACTTCCTAATCTTTTTTCAGAAGATGCTTTTCAGTTCTGGATATTGCTTACTAAATCTAGTCTAGTGGAACACTGACGAGAGGGGAACAAATTAAGAAATACATGTGACTAATAGCACAGTTAATACTACCTTGTTTCCCAAAAAATAAGACAGTGTCTTATACTATTTTTTTGCTCCCAAAAAATAAATAGGTCTTATTTTCAGGGGATGTCTTATTTTTCCACGAAGAATACAGTACACCTTTATTGTTAAATGAAAATAAAGGAAATTTATTACCTGTATACAGTACGGTACTACGGTAGTTGTCAACACAAACCAGACAAACTGTGAATCCTACAGTATCAAGAATTTACTCATTTATTCAGTGACAATCATGTCATCTTCTGGAACATCATCATAACAATCCAATTCCTGAATTTCCTGGTGAATTTCTTGTGACTCCATTTCTTTCAGAATCAGTGGACCAAATCTCTCATGTTTAGGGGGGGGGGGGGGGAAGGGTTAAGGGGGCTTATTTTCAGGAAGATGCCTTATATTTCACTCAGAAGGAAACCTGTAAGTAGGTCTTATTTTTCGGAGGATGTCTTATTTTCGGGGAAACACGGTAGTAACATGTAGATTCAAACTTTTAACTCCATGGACTAGCTTTATGACCATGGACCAACTATTTGATCTCACTGAGCCACAATTTCACCTTTTTTTATGACATCTCAAAGGGCAGTTTAGAGAATGTAATGCGATAATCGACCTGAAGTGCTGTGCAGTGCCTGACACAAAGCAATTGCTCAAATAAATGCTTTTGGTGATGGTAAATCTGGCACTGCTCCTCCCTGCAGTCACCATGGGGGGAGGGGGTCCAGTAATATCTAGTGAGAGCTAGAAATTTAGATAGGAAGATTGCAACTCAGGCAGAAGGGATGGCGTGCCCAAAATTACAACTGTAGTCAATGGCACAACTGCTACAAGACCCAGGGTACCCCGACTTTGGTTTTGAGCTGCTGCCCAAACCCCGCCCCTCTAGGTGTTACAGGCAGAGTTTGTCTGAGTTCAAACCCAGGGAAGTCGGAGTGACTGTGGGACCCGTACCAGGTGTACCATCGCCATCAGCAAAGCCGTCTATGCTCCCTGCACCCCTTTTTCTCTCCTTCTTTGCTTCACATCAACCCCACTCCCGATCATGTGGATTCCTTCTAGCTTCTCACCGGACACCACCGGACTGAAAGCTCGTAAAATCCTACCCAGCAAACTCTGAGCCCGAGCCTAGGCGTGGACCAACCACCCCGGCGCGATCTATGGAACCGATTGCGCCCAGACTCAAGACCCCACGACCTCCTTCCTCCCTCGCCGCTTCCCTCATCAGAAAAGGGCACGCCGGCCTCCCAGCTGTGCATCGTGGGGGGGAAGCACGCATCTATAAAGTGGTCATAAAAGACAGCCCCTTTCAGCCCAACGGAGGGGAACATCTTCTCTAAGAGTCCACCGGCGCGTCCAGGGTGCTGTACGGACAAAGCGTTTCCAGGGCGACTGAGGGCGCCCTCTGCCCCCCTCCTCGGCGACTCAGAGCGCCCCGGCCTTCGGAGCTACACCTGGGGGGTCGGGCAGTCGGGGACGATTACGGTGCCCGGGAGACGCCGGCGTGCCCGGCGGGACGCGACTCACGCACATTTCCCGCGACGAGCAGCTCCGCGAAAGAGGTGCGCATGCGCGCGCGAGCGCGGGGACGTGATGACGTCAACGCCGGCGGAGATTTTAAAATTCTAACGGCGCGGGTGGGTGGGCCCGGGCGCTGGTGTTTTGGCGGCCGCCCTCCTGTCCAGCAGGTTATCGCACGGTTTACGGAAATTTGGTTTCTGAGTCCCGTCCGGAAGCTGTAAAGAAAGGTGAGTAATGGCTTTGGGCGTATTTGGGGGGCGGCCGGGAGAAGGCGGGAGCGCCCGCAGCTAGTGGCCCTGCGGAGCGGTGTTCCAGCGCCGGCTGCTGTGCTTGTTGCGGGAAGCCTCGGCCCGGATCTGCGAGGCGCTGGAGTCCGGGAGTCCGATCAGTTTCTACTGGCAGCGACTTCCCGAGGGAAAAGGGGACGGGTTGGGGGACGCTGATGGGAAGAAGAAAGGCCGGGAGCGGAAAGGGGGAAGCATTGAGGGGAGCCGGGGCTGGGAGCAGCTTGGTGCCGCCACTTGTTAATTACATAGAAACTTTCAGTCTGCTCCCCGCGGCTAATCCACAGGGATGGATACTTCTTGCTAACTCTGGACCCGCTCCAGAGCTGGCTCCACTTAAGCGTCTCCCACCCCTATGCCCGTAGCTAATGTAAATGTGGTTGGTGTGTTTGAGATCGTAGTGTAACGTCCTAGTGACCGTGTACGGACATCTGGAAGTCTTCCTCGTAATCTTCAGAATACATTTCAAGTATTGAGTGGGAGTGGCCTATGGGTTAGAGTGGGAAAGTTGATTGATTGATGCAGAAGCATATATTTTAAAAAGAAATAATGGTCAAACCAAGAAATGGGTAAGAAAAGAAAAATTCTGAGATGTTGTAAATTACCTTACAGCAGCCAAAGACTGAGAGGGAGGAAAAAAAAAAAAAAACAGAACAATTAGCCTATTGATAGCTGTTAACCAGCTAACACAAGATTGCTCAGATTCATCTGTGTTTGTGGGAATTTAGGATTAACTCCCTGGGAAAAGGTTATTTTGAAGAAACATTGGAACTTGACTGCCTTTCTGTTTGAAGATAAAGATAATAGTTGGTGCCACCTGGAAACTTTTTTTTTTTTTTAATACTGAATTCATGAATGCAGGTCATAAGCATGAAGCGCAGTTCAGTTTCTACCGGTGGTGCTGGCCGCCTGTCTATGCAGGAGCTAAGATCCCAAGACTTGAATAAACAAGCCCTCTATACCCCTCAAACGTAAGTATCACACGTCTTCTTGTCTTGGACAAAGAATCTGTCACGGTGATAATAACAAAGCTGCACTATCAGTGATGTCGTGATCAATATTGTCTGTTACCAGTGGCACCTAATTTTGAGTCAAGGAAAGCTAAAAGTTGGGCATATTACTAAGGTGTTTCGTCTTATATCGCATTTGTTCCTTAAGTCTCAATGCCATGTCTTTTGCCAGGCAGCTAACATTTATTTCCTGTGTAATGACTGTCAGTTTGCTGAGGTGTATTCAACTAGCCAAGTTCTCTGTCAAAGGTATTATTTGCTCTGACAATAAGCTCCAGTTAAGTAGCAGTCTACAGAATGCCACTTCTCCAAACTATTTTCTCAAAATGGACTGGAAAAAGGTGTCCAAAAGAACTAGCTATAGTAAACTAGTTTTACTTTATGAGTGATTTTCTCCCTATTAAGAAAAAGGCTATTAGTAAGCCACTGTAGATCTCTATCAATCCTTCTCGGATACCAAATGACAAGAAAAAACATTCTGAAATAAAATTACATACAGCTTACAGTGGCCTGAGTATGTGAGAGACTGTTAGCCTTTATTTTATTTTTTTTAATATATTTTTTATTGATTTTTTACAGAGAAGAAAGGAGAGGGATAGAGAGTTAGAAACATTGATGAAAGAGAGACATCAATCAGCTGCCTCCTGCACACCTCCCATTGGGGATGTGCCCGCAACCACGGTACATGCCCTTGATCGGAATCGAACCTGGGACCTTTAAGTCCGCAGGCTGACGCTCTATCCACTGGAGACTGTTAGCCTTTAATAGCCGTGGGCCACCTATGACAAAAGAGTGCTCACATTTCTCCATATATGTTGGAATTTAGGGTTAGTTTCAAGATGGCTATTTCTGTAAATATCCAACAGAGAATAGCCAGGTGCCTTAGAAGCCCAGGTGTCTCCACTGGTTAGTTACATATAAACTTTTCAGTCTGCAACCCACAGCCAATCCAAAGGAGTGGATACTTCTTCCTTGCTAACTCTGGACCTTCCCCAGATCTGGCTCCACTTCAGCTTTTTCCAACCCTTTTGCCTGTAGCTAAAGTAAATACTTTCAGAATAGCTTCCATCTCCCACTCCCCACCCCAACATTTGATGTAAAAAGGGGCTTAATTCCAGGACATCAGACATGTCTTTTCATCTAGCCATGCTGCTGGTGGCTTAGACTTCATGCTCCAGAACCTGGTCTTTTTTGCTAGCCATGCCCTAATAAATCCTTTCTTTTCAAAAAGACTTTCAGCCATGAAACTAACACATTTTGTTTAACGTAAGGTACAAGTTTTATTTGCTAACTGTTCTTAAATTGCTTAGGTTTACGTAGTTTGAGTTGCAGCT